TCTTTCCCTTCTAACAGCAGGGAGGTTTGCACAGGTCTGCCTCCAATGCAGTTAACCCTTTCTGTGCACGTCACATGCTTCTGCTTGCCCCACTAGCCTGTGTGCTATTTTAACACGGATGCATTTAACCCCAACATATTACAAACTACCATTATCTGTTTCAACTTTAAGCATCCTCAGATTCATATAACAACCGCGTTGCTACTGCCCTAACTTAATGTACAGCTACTCCTTGCTTAACATCGTAGTTACATTCTTGACAAATGTGACTTTAAGTGAACTGATGTTAAGCAAATCCAATTATGTCACAGTAGTTACCTACTAACAGGCAGCGGCCAAACAACATTATAACTGAATGTTGTGAGACTTTAAACCAGTACGTTCTCTAATAGATTAGCAACGTAATAACAAAACAGTGTTAACCAAAACAGTGTTAACCAGGATGATGTTACGTGAGGAGTACCTGTATCATTAATTTCTGCTCTACAAAGTCTGCTGAAGATGTTGGCTTATTCTGTTGGGGTTTTTCTTTCTTTTTTCAAAATCTGAATTGCTGTTTCTCTACCTTAATTGACACTTAAAAAAAAATCTTAGGAGCTGTTGCAGTTTGCAAGCGAGCAGTATGAATGCTTGTCTTATAAAGACTCCTATCCTTTTGGACAGCTGCTGGTTCAGGAGTAACAAGATTAGAAGTAAAACTTGCATTCTTAAACTTTGGGAGTTGCAGTATGGTCCCTGAACAAGAACTAAGAGCAGAATGGGTGAGACTTGGGGCCATATCTTTGAGGGGGCAGGAGGAAGGTGTCCTAGGGGGGATAAAGGGCTCTGAGCCTCTTAAAATCATACTCTATCTTGCAGTATGAGAAGGGCACAGTGTCTTATCCTTTATGTGGAGAATCTATGCTGCAGAAAGAGCCCTGAATTGGACTGAAGACCTCTCCTTAATACAGCTGTCTTGATTCCAGTTTGAGGGTTTTGGCTCCCAGCAAACCATAGACTTTACAGATAGACAGGCCTATTGTCCTACATTAAGAACCTGTGAAATATCAGAATCAACTCTGCCTTAAAGCAATCAGGGATGTTGGTTGTAGCTCTTTGGGTCTAAGGACGTAAGGAGACAAGGCTTCATAGATTTCATAGGTTTTCATAGGTTCTTTGGGTAAATCAGATATCTTTTATTAGACCAACTAAAATACTTGGAAAGATTTCTTTTTTGCAAGCTTTCAGGTCTTTCCAACTTTAGTTGGTCTAATAAAAGATATCTGATTTATCCTTAGAACAATCAGCTAATTCCAGTTAATTGCCATTCATGTGTAAACAACTTCACCACATAATTGGAGTAGTAGTTTGAACTAATTGGCTACAAATTAAGCTGGTTGATGACTGTTAGCCTGAGGTTTTATTAAAATGAGGTTTAAAAAAGAAGTTGTGTATTTGTACTGATTGGAAGGTTCCTATTTGATATCTAGAAGGCTTTAAAAAATACAGGTGCTCAACCGCCAGTGGAGCCATGATATCCTGCCAGCGGGTCTCCCTAAGGGTTGGGAAATCTGGCAGCAATTTTAATACAGCCACCCCTTCTTCCTGCTAAGTTTCTAAACCCTGCATGGCCAAATTAGGGCTAAGCCATGCCTCATCCCCTTGCCTCTGCATGCCTGGATTGGGCCCCACTGTACCTGTTCAGTTAGGCCCATCAGTTGGATCTAGCCTGTGGATGGACCAGGCTCCAGCCAGCCAGCCTCTGGGGTAAATAGGTTGAGCACCTGTTACAAATAATCACATGCATTGTCAAAACTCTTTAAAAACAAAAAAGAAAAGCCCAAACTTGTGACTAGTATTGGTCAGTACATGGTAGTCCACTTAAAGTCCACATGACTTATGAGGAAGGGATGAGGGAACTGGGCTTATTTAGTCTGCAGAAGGAGAAGACTGAGAGGGGATTTAATAGCAGCTTTCAACTATCTGAAGGGAGGGAATTTGAGGGAATTCATAGATTGTAAGGGTGAAAGCAGCTGGAGCTGGACTATTCCCAGTGGTGGCAGATGACAGAACAAGGAGCAATGGTCTCAAGTTCCCACAAGGGAAGTTTAGGTTGGATATGAGGAACAATTTTCTCACTAAGAGGGTAGTAAAAACTGGCATAGGTTACCCAGAGAGGTGGTGGACTTTCCATCCTTGGAGGTTTTTAAGACCTGACTAGACAAAGTCTTGTCTGGGATGATCTAGATGGGGATGGTCCTGCTTCGAGCAGGGGTTTGGATTAGATGTGACCTCCTGAGGTGCCTTCCAACTCTAACTTTCTATGATTCTGTGAAAAGTTAACATACTCTTTTCCCCTCACAGAGCTCGCCCCCTCCCTCCAGATCCCACAGAAGATGACGCATCCTCTGAAGACGAGCAGATGTGACCCTCTTGCACATCCTTTGCAGATGAGCAGATGTGACCCTCTTGTGCCTCCAATCTGAAAATTAATTTCCTATACTTGAGTTGGATTTTTGTACACTTTGTATATAATTTGATATTCATGCTGGCTCTTGTTCAGTTATTGTACAGAATTTAAGTAATGTTGGGCTTTTTACTAAGTAATAATCAGCTATAAGTTTGAGTGATTACAAGAAAAATAATGGTGAAATTAATATATACCTTCTGAAGCATAGCATGCAATATAACATTTTGTGCAAATCTTATTATTATATTATTATTATTACTTCTTTTTTACCTTTGCTTAAAATTGTTGCCTTCCTCAGCCATTTCACTATATTGTACTATTTTTCACATGCAGGCATTTCTCTTGCTAAGAATTGTGCCATATTTGTGCTCTGGTGAAAAAGCAGATTTTGACTTTTATTTTTTACTTATAAATAATTAAATTAAAGTATCCTGTGACCAAATCTGAATCTGTATCTTGACTGATACTGGTCACTGCTTTCTCTTTATGAGGTTAAAGTTAGAAAAATATACTAATGTTAAAAAGCAGAAGCATGACATTTGAGTCAGGGTGAAATAATGGAGGGTGTCATTGAGACACAGGGTGCCTAGGTAAAAAGAGATGGAGCTGATTTAATCTCCACATTACCCTGATTTTGTTAGGCTGTCCTGTAGTGCAATGGTTGGTATTCCTGCTACCTAAAGCAACAGATCTACCTCAGTCTCTTAAGTTAAACTAAAGTGGGCAGGGTACTTGTTACAAATTGAATTGCTTCTGTTTAACCAAGCAAAAGATTTCAGTTATTTATTTCTTCCTACCTCTAGAACAGGAGTGGCCAACCAGTGGCTCTGGAGCCACATGTGGCTCTTCAGAAGTTAATATGCATCTCCTTGAATCTTTGCATAAGCACACAGTGACCAGCTTCCATAGCCATCACATCACATCACATCACATCACACAACTGCTCACAGCAAGCACATTACTCAGTTTGGACTTGGAAGTTTGGATTCCGGAGCTATGGGTTGGCCACCCTGCAGAGTAGGGCTGCGCGAAGCTTTGGTCCCTGATTTGGTTTGGCAGAGTCAGCTCAATTCGGAACTTTCCAAATCGATTCAGAGAGATTTGGAAAGATTTGGTGATTCGGATATAGACACAGCTTTAAATGTTTTTTCTACATACCTCAAGGTACCAGGGGGCTCATGAATGCTGTGATACTGGGGTGCATGGAACATCCCACAGGAGCACAGGGGGCTCCCCAGTACACTCAGCAGCAGACTCAGAAGTGGACCAGAAGCACTTCCAGGTCTGCTGGGCCCACCCCCCACCCCCCAGTTCAGTGACTGGTGCCTCCTGGGTTTGGGGGGGCACCTGGGGTCCCCCTGAAGCCGATCATTGGGGGGGGCAGCGTTATCCCTGGCAGACCCAGAAGTAGTTCTGGTCCACTTCC